CACGTCTAATTGCCCGATCAATTACTGGGTGAATTTCCATTGGTCGAAGATACTGTCGGAAATGGTTGGCAATCCAACCCTCGTATGGAATTATGAAGAGATGCGTGTTCACTCTGTGCCGGGGTCCGACAGTGTGACAATTGGGCTCGCACGTAACAGCGCAACCATGAGTTTCGTGCCTCATGTGGTTTCGCGAGTTTAAAATAACACGTTCGTACAAAGTAGTTTCGCTCACGAAATCGAGTTACCATCGATTCAATCGCGAGCTACAGAAATGATCCGCATCCATTTAGCTAACCTGAATCACGGTGTTTCACCCGATCAATTTCAAGCCGATCGTGTTCTTATCTCTGAGTCACACAGCACACAAAATTAGGGTTGTCGTTGTAGTCACGCTACTATAGCTCCTAGGTCTTAGTCCGGGACAGCTCCACGTAGCATCACCTCGTAATTACATATCACAGCTGCGGACGGCGCGTTGCATATCGTTACTATGACAGGTCGCGCCGCTAGAGGTAGGAAGGCCGCGAAAAACACCCGTGATGACACACGGGCTGGGAAACTCTCTCGAAAACGGGAAAATGCGTCACAACCCGACGTAGAGTCTGGCGAGGATGACGGGCGTCGTCGAAGCGATAGGCTGAAGTTGGCGCATGCACACTACTCGTCTACTAAAGAGCAGGGCGCCACGAATCTTGAGCCGGTGGTATTGAATAAGGTAGCCCCTCACGATTACGGCCTGGAGCCCCCGTTTGACTCACCGTCGGTACACTCTCCGCCGGACGACCTTATCACAAAAATCACGGCAGATGTTCAAATCCCGTTTCTAGATACTCATGAGGAGACTAGCACTATTGCGGCCAAGTTAAAGCATCCATTGTTTCCCACCAATGCGATTCGTGATCATCACGGAATGACGGCAATTATTTCGTTGGCCGATGCTCTCCACATCACCGACAACCAGCCGATCACGCAGCCGTTGATAGATTTTCATAACATGTGAGTGTCACACCGCGGACATGCTGTATCATTTGCTGCAGTTGTGGGGCCATTATCACGATGGCCGGTCTTGTTGCCATACCCACATCTTCTGATTCTAACGCAAACGACTCCCTATTGCTTTTGACCTATTTAATGGCTGTGTAAACGCAGAGTGCTGAACATCCGCCAGCCCAAGTTGAGCAACGGCAAGACGTGGCTCGCGTTGGACAGTCAGAGTTACGACTACTTCTGCTCTCGAGGCAAGATAGCCGAATGTGTCACGGGACCGTCGATCTTCAGCTACGACTATCTGGCCATGCCAATCTATGGCGGGTAAGTTGCAGTATCACGATTCGCTAGTCTCTCCAACTCTCTAACGTCTTCTGCCGTTGTAATGCCTAAGCACTGACAAATATTGTGGATTAACAAACGATGCAGGTTTCATTTCAGTGTCATGATTGTCGTCAACCCTGGAGTTGTGACTCTCCCGCTCGACGAGGACAGCACCACAGAGCCTGCGTGGTTGCTGCTATACGACTCTTTCGGGATGCATGCTGTGGGGGGCAATGCTTTCAAGAACATGACCAAGTAAGTTTTTTTTTGGGGTGCGTACGACCATTCCCACACAAGCACTCCAACATAGCTCTGCTAGCTTATGTCTCACTAAACCACACACTAATCCGCCTTTTTTATATCACAAATTCGACCGGGTGACAGCTTGCTTGGCATGGCCTTCGAGAAGGAGCATGGCAACCGCACGGTAGAAGAGATGAAGGCGAGGCTTGGGCGCTTCAAGCCACACGTCATGGAGGTGAGTTGACTTGAATAACGCTCGTCAACCATGCTACAACATCCCGTTGTCAAATGATTCTACATGCCACCCCTTGTCAAATGATGCTCGTGTACTCTATTGTTCTCATTTATGCTGCATGTGGCATTGGTGTTTAGCAGGCGTGGCAAATGCCTCTGCAGCAGAATGAATATGACTGCGGCATCTTTGTATGCCAGTACATTCAAGCGCTAGTGGAGGCATGCTTCGAAGGTGCTGAGCATGGGGTCCGGTTCAGCATGAGCCCACTGGCATACCGGCGTGTTATACGGGAGGATGTGTGCGCCCTGGCAGAAGGACGGCTGATCGGGGAGCTCATAGCAGCTGGGCATGAGATCCCTCCTGGCAATGAGATTAGGAAACCACCTGAGTTTGAGGTGATTGGCGATGAGGTGGAGGATAGGGAGTGGAGAGCGGAGATGGCAGAGCGGATGCATAGGCTGGAGGTTCGAAATGAGAGTCAGGCAGTGGCTATTGCCAAGCTCGAGAGGCAACTGCGTGAGCTGATGCTGTCCCGTACTCCACAGCCGGGCATTGGCGGTGTGGATATAGGGGAGGGACATGGTGATGTGGGAGGGGACGTTGCAGGAGAGGGACATGTTGATGTGGGACAGGTAGCTACAGGGCAGGGACATGGGGATGCGGGAGGGGATGCTGTAGGGGAGGGACATGGGGATGTGGGAGGGAACAACGCTGGCACACATGACAGCATGAGAGGTGCACATGGCGAGGGTCCTGAGGCTGACGTTGAGGCGGGTGTAGGTGGGATTAACAGTAAGCTTGAAAAAGATGGAGATGGTGATATGGCGGACGGTGCGAGGAGGGACAATGAGGAACTGGGGTTGCGTGATGAAGGTGCCAAAGGGTTGTTGGGTACTACGGATGGTAACAGAGGTGCAAGAGAGGCCGTGGGTGCTGGGCATGGTGTGACAGCCTCGAACGCGGATGTGGATTTAGTGTCCGCCCACAGCACAGGGACAGAGACAACGAGTCGCAACACTGCGCGTGGTCGAGCTCCTAGCTCTGGCTATACTGGCGTAACCAAACGGGAAGGTAGGTGGGCGGCACGACTGTGCGTAGATAGCACAAAGAGTAAGTTTTTAGTGCTTGGACGGTATACGGAGATCTTGGATGCCGCAAAAGCATATGCCGCAGCCGCCCACATTTGCCGACCGTCCCTCTCCAGCTCAACGATGGTGGAGTTGAGCGTGGAGGAGAGGCGGTGCTTGGAGGGACTGACGACGCAAGGGGTTGCAAGGATAGTGGAGGCCAAGCGGTGGGCAGAGTGGAGGAACTGGCGAGAAGTGCTCGGCAGCCTCCCTGAGCCTTCCATCCCAACGCCAGCAGGAGTACACACACAGGCTCCACCCCCCTTTTCCCACCAGCACCCTGGAGCCACGTTTGGCAACTACCACCCGCCAGCCGCCGCCTTCGCGGGACACGCCGGTGCAGCCCTTAACCCTGGTGCATGGCAGCCGTACAATCAGAACCGCCCTCCTCCCAACCTCCATTTTCCATCCCAGCAGTTTGCTTTCAACCAAATCCCAAACCATCCATTCAGCCAGGTGCAAGCCCCTATCCCCGTACACCCAACCCCTTCATTACCCATTGCTCCCAACCCTGCAGGCCATGCCGCTTCACAGAACACAGCACCCCATCCGCATGTCCTACCAACACCACCATCCGTTGCACCCAGTACGGCACATCCAGTATCTGACCCACAAACCCAACCAGTCCGACCCGCAGGGCAAACTGGACAGGTCAGGGTACATGGCCTGACATATTCACAGTCGACTTCTCCCAACAATCCCAACCCAACGTCCCACGGCTCCGCACTGGCAAGCGAGCCAGCAACAGGTGAGATGTGTGGTTGTGTCATATTAGTGCTTATTCATATGCTGTAGTTTCACTAAACTCTGCATTAATCTAATGAACTTGTTTGCTAAACCTGTGCAGGGGCGGCGGACGACATCATCGATGCCTTTCTGCACAATAACTGATGAGACGTATGGTCAACAATGACATTGCGTGCTCAGTACACATCAAATCTACGTAATATCATTGTAGCCATGCGTAGAGGTCGACATGCCTACAGATACAATAAACCCTATGATTGCTAAATGAACGGACCGCACAGTGTTATAAAGATACAATGGCAAAACACCGGTAGTGAACGTCTCCCGATTCTATTAATATAGTTGTTTACTAATAAAACAGATCGCACACACATTCGAGCACCACATATGCGCGCTCATATAGGTAAATGCGCGGTTTTATATGAGCGCGATCTTACATGACCGCGCCTGATTGGACGCGCAAGGTAAAAAAGTACTTTACGCATAGAGTCGACCAATCACACGCGCTCTGTAATTGGTCGCGCGTGTGGACAGTCGTGCAATTGAGTATATGATCGGGGAATTCATATCTCTATGCGCGGATTGGTCAATCATTGGACCGAAAATGAGCGCGACTGTTCGCCGAACATGATCGTGTTGATTATTGTCGTGTATTCGAACGATGACGTGGCCGCTCTCGCGCACGTCACCCAGCCGAAAAAATCGGGCGGAAAAACACACGCCACGTTTTTGCGGGAAGAGTTACGAACGACGTGAGAAAAGCAGGGCTAAAAACCGGTTTTGGGTAATGTGCCGGATAAAAAAAAAGCCAGAGGAAACCTCTGGCAAGACCACTCGAGCAATTATCATCAAATTGTCCGACTACGGTAGCAAATTGAGCCTACGTGTGCAACGGCAAATCACCGTTTCCGGGTCTGGAGAAAATCTCTCTTGTGGCCGCCTTGATTTTCCCATCATCCACCTGTCATCGATTCCACCGACTGCACGCCTGACTCGAATCATACAGCTTGCGGGAATGTGCTGTTTGGATCCAACGGTCCGCGCATGAGTCACCTTCACCCTCACTCCTTCCGCTGCCCCCACTCGCCCGCCCGCCCGCCCGCGTGGCATCATCCGTGCACTGTTTTGAGTATCTCCCCCAAACGGAAGCGGTCCAACAATCGAGACTGCACCGCACAGAATCACGGAAAGTCCTAGTTTCCTCCAGCCACTCCTTGTTCGGCCTAGTTAGTCTTCATTCAGCCTCTTCAGTCTAGATTGCTGCTGCTTCTTTACCACCTATCAGTTCTTCTGTGCATGCATTAGTTACCTGTGCTTCATCGTCATTATCGGAAATGTGTGGAGCGTCACATACCTCTTTCTCCTTTCCTGTCAGTAATCCGTCGTTCCTGCTACCTGATCTGCGTCCGTCCAAATCCATTGGCTCCTCCTTTCTCGTAGACGCGTCGATGCAATCAAGCGATGAGGATCACGCGCTTCCGTTATCTCTCTCAACCATAACTCCTCCATCGTCCAATGCTCCCCTTAACGACATCCCCTCATCACAGCAGCAGCACATAGATCGGAGGTGCTTCCAGGAAGTCGATTTCTTTCGACCCCGCGCAGAACCTTCCGCTGTTAGACCCTCCCCGGCATCGGTCGCTGCAACCGAGTCGGCTCCCGCCTTCGCACCCGCTACTATCGCCGCGGCACCGGGTTCTTTGTCTCGTCATGGGGCCCATCGAAGTGCTGAGGCAACGACACACCCGTGTGTCGACTACTCAGTCGTATCCGTAACACCCCATCAGCGCCTCCCCTCGGAGCAGCAGAAACCGCCGTCGGCGGGTCGATCCCCGTTATTGGCGTCTTCGTTAATGGCGTCAGTTGCCGAGTGGTCCAACGTGATGATGCCGCCGCCCGCAACAGCAGGGACTGCCAAGAGCCTTCTGCCAGGCTCCTCGCTCGCCAACGATCTGCACAGACCCGTTACCGCCCTTCGCCGACCGACGCTTAACCCGTTCAGCGACAAGCCGCGGGGAGACGCGGCACCGGCGCCGGAAGCTGGCGACGGGTCGGCGAAAAGGCCTCGATGCGAGAGCCCGTCGCATCAGCTGCTACCCAGCCTGAGCAGCAGCACGGCCTGCACCGCCAATATCCGCGATAGTAGCCACCCCGCGATTACACGGTCTGGCCTATCCAACCCGGCGCCACCCGTCCCAAGCAAGTTCTCCTCGGCGAATCTCGTGCAGGATATTCAGAAATCGGCGCGCGGAGACCTGTCGCTGGACCTTCCCCCGCCGTGCTGCTCCTGGATGTGCATCTACTTCTCCGTGCCGTGCCGCAAGAAGCGCCGCCTCGCGCCGTCCTCTACCACCAGCGGAAGGACCAACAGCGTCAGCGCGGCTGTTAGCGGAAGCATGATCAGCGGCGGTGGTGACAGCGGCGTAATCAGGAGGCGGAGGGCGGCTCGCCCTGCCGCACTTCCAGCTTCAAGCGGTACCAGCCTTTCCGGCGCGGCGGGAGCTCCGCGTAACCCGCCGCGGCAGCCGGTGGGCAGGGGGGGCATGAAGGAGGAGCGAGAGGTATGGGCAAGGGAGGACCAATCCAAGGCCAGCGGTAGTAAAGGCGGTGCGCATCTGGCGAGATGTGAGAGTGCGAACGGCGGGGATTCGTCGGTGCACGGAGGCTTAAATACCGTGCTGACGTCAGCGTTTGCAGCAGCACGAGGCGGTCCGTCAGCAGCACGAGAAGACGGCATGTTTACACCGGCTTCCGAGCTGGGAGTGGGGAGCCAGCCAGCAGGCGCGTCGGCTTCCGAGCTGCTGGCGTCGTACGCGGCGTCGGGCTGCGCGTCGCCTGCTCTCCGCGCGTTCCTCGCACTCTCTCCGAACCTGTCGGCCCTGCTCAATCCGTCCGCGCTCCCGGCTGCTGATGGTGCGTCCACGCTGCTGAGGCGTCTTCAGAGTGACTCGGCTGCTGCCGCCGTGGCTGCTGCCACTGCTGCTCGCATGCACCTGCTGCAGCAAACCTCTGCCGCGCAGCAGCAGCAGCAACAACAGCATCAACAGGTGGTGTTACAAGAGCAGCAACAACAGCAGCAGCAACATGTACTAGTACAGCATCAGCATCAGCAGCAGATGGTGCAGCAGCAACCACATCCACAAGTGGTGTTACAAGAGCAGCAACAACAGCAGCATCAACAACAGGTACTACACCAACAGCAACAGCATCAAATCCAACAGCAACAGCATCAAATCCAACAGCAACAGCATCAAATCCAACAGCAACAGCATCAGCACCAGCAGCAGCTGATTGAATCAAAAGCAGACAACAGTTCTCAACCACAACCACGGCAGAAAATGATGCATGACAGTTCAGCATCTCACCGTACTTCGATGAGCGACAACACAAACCATGACAGAGCAGCACCGGCCTTAGCGTTTCCCTCCTTAGCAATAGCATCAGCACCAGCACCATCCTTAGCAGCAGCAGCAGCAGCAGCACCTACAACTGCCATGGACAGCACCCTTCCCCAGCAGCCGTCCTTTCCCCAGAACACGCCTTGGCATGCGCCGGCTCCCCTCAGTGGTGGCGGCTGTGGCCATTCCGCTGCGGATCCCAGCAGCGATCGAGTGTCGGGTTTTATTGCAGCGGAGTCAGGCCGGGATGCTTGGAAGACCAAGGCTCTTGACCTCTCCCTGCGGTTGTGACACATCAGTTTGGGGATTTGGCTGGGAATTAGGGTAGGTCAATAGGATTTTTCATGGCTGACCATGTTATTATTGTGTTGATTGTACAGTCTTGACACATTGAGCATCTACCTATTCCTCACAGGATAAAGACCACAGCATTTGAACTTTATTTAGCTTTTATGGTAAATGTTGTTTGCTCTTCAAGATCAGCTGTTCATATTTTCGTACGAGTTGCACCATAATGGGCTACTTCGCACAGGACCGCTTACCACTCTCTCCCACCCTTACAAACCGGACTTGGCATCTGGCTGGCTGCAACTGACACACGTCATGTCTGAATGTCACCTTCCTGAATGTGGAAACATTTTGTCACCTCCATCCCTTGTATCTCAACTGTCAGTGTGTATGTAATTTATGTGCGAGCCGCCTCCGCGTGACGTCTTAGCGTCGGGATTGGACGCTCGCACGTAGCGAATTCAATCCCACCAATCGAACGTCGCTCATCTCTTCCATGTCGGCCTCAGCTGCAGCAACAAATGCGTTTGCAGTCTCTCAATTCCGGGTGACCGAGCGACCACCGTGCACTTCCAGTTGCAATGGAGTAATGCAGGGTCCGCCCTCCAGCAGCAGCACCCGCAGCAGCGGTCGGAGCGATGCGCGGAACAGTAGCGTCGGCGGAAGAAGGGGGGTGGCGAAAGGCTCATCGCAGTGGAGTGGCCGGCGGAGGGAGCTGTGCGCTGCTGTTGGCGGATCAGGGGGAAGTGGAGGGGGAGCGGGGGGAGGAGGCGATAGCATGGACAAAGTCCGTCTTTTGATTGGTGGGATCGTAGGACGCTTTGTCGGTTTCCAGTTAGTAACCTTTGTCAGTTTGTTTGTTTGTTTGTTTGTTTGTTTTTTATGTAATGCTAGTGCATTAGCATTGGAGGAAGGTGTATCTGGATTGACATTAATTCAGAAATTTCTTTCATGGCTGCAGGTATGGCGACAAGGGATGACAAGAAGCGAGGATTTGGCCCGCCTCCTCCCAAGGACAAGGCAGCTGGCTCCGGATTCGTAAATCTGACAGGTGAGTGATATGACTTACTGACACATGCTAATCTCAAAGGTGACTTAGTGCTGGCAAGTCACAATGGCATCGTCAATCTCACAGATGGCTGATGATTCGTGTCCGTTTGACGTTTGACATGTGACGTAGTGTCATTTTGCAATTTCCCTCCGCCTAAAGCTTCTCCAAAATTCCCCAATGCTGATCCTCAGGTAGAGAGGACCTGATGGCTGGTCGCAGGGAATTCGACCTTGCCTTTTCTTCCTCCACGCCCCCCGAAGACTTGCTGGCTCAGGCTCGTGCCCGAGCCAAGGCGCGGACCATTGCTCAATCTCAGGCTCGGAAAGGCGAAGGGTTGAGTGGTGGGGAGGAATCAGACGGTGATGCGGAGGGGAGCTGGCAAGTCGACAATGAAATTAGAGGGGCTGATCTAGAAAGGAACGGCAGCACTGGCTCTGTGTCTGCAAGGGCAGGGAGTGGAGTGGATGGAAAAGCGGCTGAGCATACCACTACTGGATTTCCACTTACCTTTACTGGCCTTCCCTTGGATCTGACGCCAAGTCAAACAGTGATATCAGCTGGCATGCTCGCGGTAACGGCACTAGCTGTGGGGAAGGGATCAAGTGACATCTTGTCTGATGAAGTCATTTGGCTACTGCGGGTGAGTTCCAACCAGTAGAACGTCATGCTTCTTGCAACTTTTACCATCTCGGGCGTTTCAAGAGTACGTGTTATTCCCTTGTATCTCAGTTGTCAGCTCCCAGAAATCAGGCACCTTGGCCGATTTAGTCTGTCTCCACTCTTCCTCTGCTGCTCTCTGTCGCTATGTCCTCTCATCTGCAACCCACTGTCCCAGGTGTGGATGGCCATCGCTTGGACAACTCACTGCTCTCTTGGTGCATTTGCTGCCTTCATATGCCATCAATCAGGTGCGAGCGGCTGCTTGCATTGCTTTTTTGTCTCATAAAAAAAAATCATTACTCATTGCCTATCCTCACAACATTCTTTTTGTTGTGACAGGCAACCAGCTGTCTGCATCATCTGCAAGCAAGTGGTTTTTCAAGATATCGCTAGCTGGTTTTATAGCCTTCTCTGAGTTTTGGAACGTTTGGAGACCACGTGGAGGCTTGTAGTCACTCCTAGTGAACACCAGAGTCTGAACAGATCTGTGCTGCCACATCAGCGGGAGCCCTCGAGTCAAGCAGATGGAACAGCAGACACAGAGGGAGAGAATTCTTGTGCCAAGACAAAGAGTATGCTCGTGCTAAAAGCAGCGGATGCTCTTGGTGCCACGTCATGCTACTCAACTTCACAACCACCTTGGCTGTGCATGTGAGGACCATGGCAGAACTGTGTATGTACAAAGGCTGGCATTCTTTTCCGCCAATGGCTTTGGTGCTGGAAGTTGGGACTGACAAGCAGGAGAGTGAATGCTGTAGTGGTTGACAGGCTGACAAGGTAGGCACCACTGCTGATAAAATAGACTCAGGTGAGTAATGACAAGATGGTGGTAGTGCTTAAATATTACGGGTTTTTTCATTGACATGTAAATACCTGATAGTATTCAAACATTTCAACAGTCGTAAATACGAATAGATCATTGAATTTTTGGGGAGACGAAGAAGCACCGGTGAGTAATTGAACTGGATGAAACCAGCCCCTATGTTCTCATATTGTAACTAAAGTGTGCTGCCATCATAGAGTTGAGTTGAGAGTTCTAGCTTACTACGCACAAGTTCGTTGTAACGGATGACGCCTATTTCATGGTTTGGGAAGTGGACGCTGGTGTTTGGCGACTGGCTTCCCCAACCAAACTCAGTAGAAAAGATAGGGGAAATCGCGACTGATGTCCCCAGCATTCAGTGGAAAGGTGACGAATTGGACTAATTGACCGCTTGGACTCTCAGTGCCCTTGGAATGGAATGGTCCCAGCTATCGCAAAAGCAACTCGGGGAGTCTATCCTGTTCCTGCTCGCAGCCCCACTCTCTCAGCGACATTTAGCCTAAACCTCACCTTGGGGTTCCAGCCCCCATGACTCCGGATCACCCATGAAATAGGCGGAGGTTTGCTGTGTTTCGAAAACCAATTTCGATATGCCTCCTGGCGCCTGGTGGAGCCAGCTCGAGATGGCTGAGGCTTTCCCGTACCGGAGGTCTGGTTCTCCAAACCTACAACAGCCCTCCAAGCAGCATTGAGCCGAGAGGCTGACGTGCCATTCATCCTACATGGCTGCTGTACAGCCTGGCTCAGGCGTGCGTGTGGCGGTTGCCAGCCCACATCAACCATTTCACCCACGATACGCGGTCGGAAACCGCCAAGTGTGTTTTCCCGCCTTCCGCCGCTTGGGGACCTCAGAACCCTCCAGAAATATTGGACACAGGCCCTTCGCCGGGCGAATGAGCTGAGCAACCCTCGCCAAACATTCGGAAAGCGAGCCGAAAGTGGCGATCTTCTTGAGGCTGTTCAGCCAATCATAGCGCTGTTATCTCGCTCTCCGTCATCCTTCCCCATCCAAATCCAACGGAGGAAAAGGCTAGTGCTACGTCAGCAACGTCGACGGTGACGTTCAGGATAAGGCCTTATCGCACAAACGAACAAGAACTGACGGTATAGATTTGTTGATGACGCAAGTGTGCGGGAGACGGTGATGTGATCACGCGTGCGAGTGCGTCACTTTCGACGCAAGTGACTGGACAGAAACGTGTCATTTTTCCACTGTTGAGAGGCCATGTTGCGTTGCGGTGCTGTCGCCTCCTGTGAACAGAGGGCAGCAACAGCAGCACTCCTCCCCCTCTCCCCTCCAATTCTCCTCGCTGCGCGTCTCGTGGCATCCAAGCAGATCCGAGTTCGACCAGGCCTGCCTGCCAGAACTGTGAGCAAACGGGCCCTTGGTGGGATGGAGGTGGTGGTGTTTCTCTAGTTGGTCCTTCGGTTCTGTAATCACGTCCTCTTCTCGCGCGAGTTCCTCTCATCGCTATCTACACTCGTGTGAGGGGCACTGGGTTTGGCCCCTACCCCACCCCAGCCAAGTTACCGCCTTGGCGGCGCTTGTTGGTGGTTGCTTTGGGCAGAACCAGACCGGAGGCCTGTTCATGAACGTGTAGCTGATCATTAGTCGCTCTCTTGATCATTCATGCTTGATTGCTTCCCGCACCCGCTGCTGTTCCGCTCCGCACCTGTCGTTGTGCGACGTAGTGTAACTGGGTTTGGTTAGCCGTCTGCTGGCATTGGCCTCCGCAAAACCCTCACCCTCGAATGGCCAATTAACCAAGGGAAACCATAACTTTTAATTCCTCACACGGGTCGCATTGCCTGATCAACACTAGCAACGCTGCTTGTGCGATCTAGATCTGAAAGCAGAAAATGAGTTGCAACGGATGTAGGGTCCTGCGGAAGGGATGCAGCGAGAGCTGCGTGTTGCGCCATTGCCTGGGGGGAATCGAGGGCGCGGAGGCGCAGGGTCATGCCACGCTGTTCCTCGCCAAGTTCTTCGGCCGCGCGGGTCTCATGGGCTTCGTCACGGCCGTTGACGAGGGTCAACGCCCAGGTACCCAATTGGCCCATTGTTTCCCGCGTTTGTGCCGAGAAGCAGCGAATTCCGGCGCTGCGATTGGGTTCAGTCCAGCGACGTGGCCTCCGTCTCCCCTGCTCGTGCTCTCCATTTCGCACCGCCTCTAAATTGCTCGTGTTGAAATCCTCCAGATTCCAAACTGGCCACGCTGCATTTTCTTAATTGCGGACGGATATCACACCAGGTCTCATCTTTACCCAGCGTCTCGCGTTCTCGTTCAGTATCATCACGAAACCCTCAATTGTGCCTGTCATTCCCCCATTCCCCCATTCCCCATCTCCGCCTCTCCGCCTTTCCGCCCGGCAGCGCTATTCCAGTCGTTGCTGTTCGAGGCGTGCGGGCGAACCATCAACCCGGTCTTCGGCTGCGCGGGGCTGCTCTGGACGGGCCAATGGCACCTCTGCGAGTCCGCCGTCGATACTGTCCTCCGAGGCGGCTCCATCCACCCCAATGCCACCGCCAGCGCTGGCGCCAATCCAGCCGCGCCTGGAAGCGTCGCACCCGGCGCAGCGGTCTCCGCAGCAGCGCCTCCGCAGTCCTCCGCACTGCCTTCCGCGGGAGTGACGCTGCCGTCGTCTGGGTCCGTTGTGATGGTCCCCACCCCCGCGTCCGCGCCCGCCACGTCCGGAACGACGTCCGGAACCACCGCCGTCGCCGGCGCAGGCGCGTCCTCCCCTCCGCTCCCCGTCGCTTGCGCCCCGGGGGTGGCAAACCACCGCCTTGGGATCTCCGCGTCGCCGCTACCGGCGCTTCCGGGCGCGACGGCGGCGTCCGCGGCATCGTCGATGGTGCCGTTCGGAATGCACCCGGGACACGTGCAGCACCTGCAGCAGCAGCAGCAGCAGCAGCAGCAGCAGCAGCAGCAGCAGCAGCAGCAGCAGCAGCAGCAACAGCAACAGCAGCAACAACAGCACCTGCAGCAGCAGCAACAGCAGCAGCAGCAGATGATGCATCTGCAGCACATGTACGCCGCTCAGTCGATGTACCAACCGGCAAGCGCGGCCATGTACCAGCAGACCATGGGGAATGTCGCGATGGGGTCTGCCGCAGCGGCAACGGCGGCAGCCATGGATATGATGCAGCCCGCCGCCGCCATGGCCTACTGGCCTTCCGCCGCGCCGGGCCCGCCGCCTTTTCCGGGTCTTTCCGCCGTAACCGGGGCCACTGCGCCCGGATTGGCCCCCGGGATGATCGGCGCAGCGGTCGCGCCGTCTGCGCCGGGGATGATGCACGGAATGACGATGGCCGGGATGCAGCCAATGGTGTGCGGCCAGGTGGCAGGCATGGGTCAGTCTCCGTATATGGCGGCGGGTCAGCCAGGGGGACCTGCGGCTGAGGCTGCAGCGGCGGCAGCGGCGGCGTATCAACGGGCGCTGTACCAGCAGCATTACGCGCAGCCCGCGCATGCGCATGCGCATGCGGCGGCGCAATCGGCGCAACAGCAGCAACATCAACAACAGCAGAGTCAGCAGCAAGACGCTAACGCGCAGCAATCTCAGGACCAACAGCAACAGCAGCAGTCGGAACAAGATGCCGCGCAAGCGCAAGAGCAAGCCAACTGCGCGGGATTACCCCAAGCGCTCGGCGCGCGGGCGTTCTGTCCCCCGACCACCACAGCCGTGGATCCCCGCTCCGCCGGGTCGTGCGCGGGAGCGCGACTCACGGGCAGAAGCGCAGCTTCTCCGGGCGCCGGCGGACCTGGTGGCGCGGGGCTCTCCGCTAAAGCCCCCGCGCACATGGGGTTCGGCGGAGGCGCTTGGGCGGCGAGTTACGGGGGAATAGGCGCTGGGGCAGGGGGCGGAGGCGGCGCAGCGATGCTCAACGGCCCGACTCCAGTTGGGGGCATGTGGGAGGCCTCCGCGGGAACTAGCGCGTTCGCGATCCCCATCCCCGCCGCGTTTCAACCACAGCCGTTCGCGAAAGCGGGGCTGCTCGCCCCTGCGCGTCTGTCCGGATCGACGGTGTGCCAGGCGCAGAGCCCGTCGGGGTGCCTGTCGCCCGTCACGAGCGGAACGAGCGGGACGAAAACGAGTCGCAGCCCCGAGGAGACGAGCCCCTGCGGAAGCCCGCCGCTGGTTGCGCCCGTCGCGCGGCGGCCGAAGCTGGTGCACTCGCCGATTTCTGCGGCTGCGAGATTTGTGCCGCGCGGAGCAGGAGTTTCCGTCCCCCGCACGGATTTTGCGCCGGGTGCGGTTCCCACCACCACCCCCTTCTGCTAGTGCGCTTGCGATTTGCCCCCTTCTTCGTTTCCTTCCGCCTTCTGTGAGCCGCCACTTCCCTTCGTTTCAATCTCAAATCGTTCCAACCCTAGTTGCGTTGCATTCGCCGGTAACATCTGCAGCTTTTTGTCTGATTAAGCCTAGTATTGTGCTCACTTGCAGATTTGTAGTGCCTCAGTGCCCTAGGCAGGTCCTCTCCACATATTTTTTCTGTGGTGGACTGGTTAGCTGACGCCACCATATTTTTATGATTTTCGTTTGTGATGCAGGTGTGGGAGTGGGTGGTGAGTGGGAATCCATGGGCTCCCCGAGTGCTGCAGAGGTGTTGGATGGACCTCCTCCTCTCGCTGCATGCTCCGCTGCTGCTTCAGATGATAGCAGGAGCAGCAAGCGGCAACAGCAACAGCAACAGCAGGAGCAGGAGCATCAGGAGCAGGAGCAGCAGCAGCAGCAGCAGCAGCAGCAGCAACACCAGCAGCAGCAGCAACACCAGCAGCAGCAGCAACACCAGCAGCAGCAGCAACAGCAACAGCAGCAGCAGAAAGAGGAGAGGTCAGGGGGTCTACTTCAGCTGCTGTAAGTCATGTCACGCAGTCTGCTGCTAACTCCATCTGCGTTTTCGGGCTTGCTGCCCTCTGCAGAGATATTGACATTCTCCAACACAGCCTTAGGGGGACTTCTAGTAGGATCTTGCCTTAGCTGACACCACATGCACAATGCTTTGTGGTACAACCCTTGTAGAAGTTCGTTTTTTGGCTTGATTAATCTGGTATATATGGTACAACCCTTTTCTGCAGCTTTAATAGGCTGAGATCCGGTGTAGCGATGCAATTGGATTTTATTTCAATGAACTGTACCATTGTCACACGCAGGATCGTCTTGACTAGGTGCTGCCACATTGGGTGAAACAAGGTACGGAAACGTGGTTGTGCCACGTCTCATACCCAGCGAGCATTGCAGACCGCTGGTCAATACCCCTGTCAGCGAAGTGTTCGCGGTATGCAACCATGATTCGCGAAATGCTGACCTCTCTTCGTACGGCACAGTTACACAGCGTAGTTCCTTTCCTCCCAACTCAAGTCCTCCAAGTCGTCGGTACGGTGCTCCCAAGGTTGCTTTGCACCGTTCCGTTTTGCCTTCTGAAAAAGCTTATGTAGCTGTTTTGAAGGTTACTTCACGCCTCGATTTTACCGATCCTCAGGATTGTTGAGAACTTGAGTGGCAAAGAATTCGCGTACGATCACGCGGTCCTCGGTAGTTGCAGCTGCTGCGTGACATCCCCTCCCTGCTGGACTCCTCTCTATTGAGCCTGCTCTGGGAAGTAGTGGTATTAGTCTGCAATGTCTCGGTATGTCGCTGCCGCCCAGGCTGACAGGGCTCTGAGCTCTCGCGAAGGTCGCCAAACCTGACGATTGCACCGCAATTTCTGCGAAGTAGGCCCTCGATTCCGATTAGTCACGAATTGTGGCGGAACTACACACTCGGCTCCGTTCAGACACACTTGACTGCGAAAACGACACTTGAATCGATCCAAACAACAGCTACTGCAAAATCAGACTCTTAAGTTCGGCAAAAAGCCTAGGTTTGGGTGAGGAAGCCGAATCAGGAGGACTCTATTAGGCTTCGCAGAAACTAGAGGAGAATAACGGAGGATAGAGGGAATTGGTGTAGAAACCACCAGGCTGAAAACGTGTTGTACCGCCGAGGGTAGAGCGGGTTGGTCAGGGTTCGCAGGGGGGTCAGAGGCGGTCGATCGAGGCAATAGAGGCGGGGACAGTAGAGGCCGGCGCGATGGACGATCGCACTAAGGGCCTGGTGCTGGCGGTGACGTCGAGCGTGTTCATCGGCGGCAGCTTCATCGTCAAGAAGAAGGCCCTCCGCATGTCCGCCGTCTCGGGTATCAGAGCCGGTGCGTGTCACGCCCGCTGGGTGGGACCAGCAGTTGGTGGGAAGGGTGGTGGGTGGAACGGGTGGTGGGTGGGACGGCTGATGGGTGGGAAGGGTGGTGGGTGGGACGGGTGGTAGGTGGGACGGGTGGTGGGTGGGACGGGTGGTGGTTGATGGAGCTGGTGAGTGTGAGAGGCGGTGACGTGAAGGTTAGCGCATGCGGCTTGAAGCTGATGTCGTTACCTGATCTAAGGCCATACCGCCTGATGACCAACAATTTGCTGACTTGATTGCTTGCGTAGTGACTGTGTACGGCTTTTGATGGCATCCGCTGACCCGCTTGGTGTGCGGATGGATGGTGAATGCATGGATGCATAATGCCTGCATGAATGGATGATGCATGCATGAATGGATGGTGCACGCATGAATGGATGGTGCACGCATGAATGGATGGTGCATGCATGAATGGATGGTGCATGCATGAATGGATGGTGCTTGCGTGAGTGTATGGTGCATGCATGAATGGATGGTGCATGCATGAGTGGATGATGCATGCATGAATGGATGGTGCATGCATGAATGGATGGTGCCCGCATGGTTGGTGATGCATGCATGTGCAGGCATGGGAGGTCATTCATACCTCAAGGAGCCACTGTGGTGGGTCGGAATGATATCCAGTGAGTTCCCTGCCTCCTCTCGCAACCCCGCTGCCCCTCTCCCCGTTCCACCTCCTCCCACCTCCCTGCTTCCCACCATCACCCCTCGCATGCACCCCTCGCATGCCAGCCCACGATCTCATCCACGCCATGCCATGCCACTAGTGCACGGCTTCGCGCTCCCTCGTCTCATCCACGCCAGGCCACTCCCCCTGGCATGCACGGCTTCGCCATGCTACTCCTGCACGGATTCGCCTCAAGCTTACATCCTCCCTGTCCGTGCTCAGTCGTCACTCCGTTTCCTCACCCCCCTTCCTCACCCTTCCTCTCCCTGCCGGCTCACCTCTCATCCTCCCTCCTGTAACTTAGCCCCTCCCTTCCTCTTCCCTTTGGCTCCGTTTGCCCCTAGGCGCTTCCATGGGACCATGTGACTGTACACCCAATCCAAGTGATTCTGTGCCCATGCGACCACTCATGTGCGAATGCAACTACCCGTCCCCCATGCACCCATGCCCCTGTGCACCCATGCCCCTCTATCCGCCAGTGGTGTTGGGAGAGTTTGCCAACTTTGCAGCGTACGCCTTTGCACCAGCCATCCTCGTCACACCGCTGGGCGCGCTCAGCATCATAATCAGGTGCGCTCAGCATCATAATCAGGTGCTCTCAGCATCATAATCAGGTGCGCTCAGCATCATAATCAGGTGCGCTCAGCATCATAATCAGGTCCTCTCAGCATCATAATCAGGTGCTCTCAGCATCATAATCAGGTGCTCTCAGCATCATAATCAGGTGCTCTCAGCATCATAATCAGGTGCTCTCAGCATCATAATCAGGTGCTCTCAGCATCATAATCAGGTGCTCTCAGCATCATAATCAGGTGCTCTCAGCATCATAATCAGGTGCTCTCAGCATCATAATCAGGTGCTCTCAGCATCATAATCAGGTGCTCTCAGCATCATAATGAGGTGCTCTCAGCATCATAATGAGGTGCTCTCAGCATCATAATCAGGTGCTCTCAGCATCATAATCAGGTGCTCTCAGCATCATAATCAGGTGTTCTCAGCATCATAATCAGGTGCTCTCAGTATCATAATCAGGTCCTCTCAGCATCATAATTAGGTGCTCTCAGCATCATAATAAGGTGCTCTCAGCATCATAATCAGGTGCTCTCAGCATCATAATCAGGTGCTCTCAGCATCATAATCAGGTGCTCTCAGCATCATAATCAGGTGCGCTCAGCATCATAATCAGGTGCGCTCAGCATCACAATCAGGTGCTCTCAGCATCATAATCAGGTGCTCTCAGCATCATAATCAGGTGCTCTCAGTATCGTAATCAGGTCCTCTCAGCATCATAATCAGGTGCTCTCAGCATCATAATCAGGTGCTCTCAGCATCATAATCAGGTCCTCTCAGCATCATAATCAGGTGCTCTCAGCATCATAATCAGGTGCTCTCAGCATCATAATCAGGTGCTCTCAGCATCATAATCAGGTGCGCTCAGCATCATAATCAGGTGCTCTCAGCATCATAATCAGGTGCTCTCAGCATCATAATCAGGTGCTCTCAGCATCATAATCAGGTGCTCTCAGCATCATAATCAGGTGCTCTCAGCATGATAGTCAGGTGCTCTCAGCATCATAATCAGGTGCTCTCAGCATCATAATCAGGTGCTCTCAGCATCATAATCAGGTGCTCTCAGCATCATAATCAGGTGCCCTCAGCATCCTCATCAGGTGCCCTCAGCATCCTCATCAGGTGCCCTCAGCATCCTCATCAGGTGCCCTCAGCATCCTCATCAGGTGCCCTCAGCATCCTCATCAGGTGCCCTCAGCATCCTCGTCAGGTGCCCTCAGCATCCTCATCAGGTGCCCTCAGCATCCTCATCATCATTGCACTGTTTTGCAAGCCTACCGTGTTCGTAGATGCTGCTATGTTTGTGTGCAGCGATACCCGTTTCTTTTCTCAACTCTCTTTCACATTTCTCATGTCAATGGTCGCCTTCCTGTCTGTCTCTTGTTGGCCTCCACTTTTCTCACTTGTCTCCCTTTCTCCCTCTCTGTCCCCTCCCCATCAAAACCTCCCCACCCCCTGCCATTTTGGCAGCGCCATACTAGCGCACATGCTGCTGGACGAAAAGCTGCACGTGCTGGGGTGGCTGGGGGCGACGCTGTGTGTGGTGGGGTCCATAGCCATCGTGCTGCACGCCCCCCAGGAGAAGGACATCGACAACGTCAAGCAGCTCTGGGCGCTCGCCACTGAACCAGGTAGGAACGCTCGGCACTGCCGAACCAGATAATACTAGGCACTGCCGAGCCAGATAAGAATGCCTCGGCACTGCCGAACCAGATAATAATGCCTCGGCACTGCCGAGCCAGATAAGAATGCGTCTGTACTGAGCCAGCCAGGTGGGGCTCTCGCCTTGGCTGCAGTGAGGCCTGATGTATGTGGCATTGCCTGGTGCCCACTCACTACACCAGTGCCTCCTCTGCTGCCTGAATCCTTCAGTACCACATTCCATTGCTCTCCCTCCCTCCCATACCCTCCCCCATGCACTTCCCCTACACAGCGTTTGTGAGCTACTCAGTGACGACGCTGGCAATCAGTGTGTTCCTCATCTTTGTGCTGGCGCCACGCTACGGCTCCACCAACGTCCTCGTCTACCTCGCCATCTGCTCGCTGCTCGGCTCCATCTCCGTGAGTGTGCTCTTCACACGCTCTTCACACGCTCTTCACACGCTCTTCACACGCTCTTCACACGCTCGTCACACGCTCTTCACGCTCTCTTGACACGCTCTTGATGTGCTCTTGGCATGCTGTTGTGATCTTCGTGAGTGTGCAGCTGACACACAGTCGTGCTCTCTGTCTCTCTGTGCCATTTTCGGGTCATGTCAAGCTCGGCTCTGCCTCCTTGAGTGTGCCCTTGACATCTGTGATATCCTCTCTCACTCTACCTCCTCCTTTTACAGAAGTGGCAGCATGACATGCCCTGATTTGTCAACCCCTCACTCTTGTCAGCATCTTATGCCACATGTGTCGCCACTGCTGCATTTTCCTGCGTGTGTCCTGCTTTTTCCATGCATGTGTTCCTGCGTGGGCCGCCAGGTGGCGAGCTGCAAGGCCCTAGGGATTGCAGTGAAGCTGACCCTGTACGGAGACAACCAGCTCTTCTACCCTGAAACCGCCTTCTTCGCCGTCGCCCTCGCTGCCTGTGCTGTCACACAAATCAACTACCTCAACAAGGTGCGTGCACCTCTAATGGCCCAAGCCCTGGATCCGAACCACTTGAACAACAAGGTGCGCAAGCTGACTGCACAGCCAGGGATCACAGCTGGTTGTCACCGTTCAGTGTTCAACACAGCAGTGTTCTTGACGCCTACCCGTAGTGATTTACGTACACCACGCTGACTGTCGTGTGATGCTTTCTCCCCGCCATACAGGGTCCTTGCCCGTCGTCCCCGCCTTCTCTTCCCCTCTTCATTTCCCCCCTTCTCTCCCCCTCTCACTGTTCCAGTCGCTAGACACGTTCAACACAGCAGTGGTGACGCCCATATACTACGTCATGTTCACCACGCTCACCATAGTGGCCTCTGTGATAATGTACAAGGACTGGGCGGGGCAGACAGGGGAGCAGGTGCTCATGGAGTTCTGCGGCTTCCTCACCATCCTCATCGGCACCTACCTGCTCCATGCCACAAAGGACTTTGCGGGAGACTCCTCCCGCCTGCACCTCTTCGACCCCTCTGCTCGTACGTGCTCTCCCTTCCCCTTCTCTCCTGTGTGCTCTCTCTTCCCCACGTCGTCCCTCACTATAGTGCACCACCATTGTGTTTTCTTCATCACTTCTCTCTGTATGCCCCCTGATGATCACCTTTTTCTCGTCCTCCGCCCCTGCACTCCCCCACAGGAGTCACGCCTGCCAAGAACCCGACAGCCCTCAAGGGGCACATAGGGCTGGGCACGATGCCATCTGGGGGCTCCAAGGATGATAAAGACGACCTTGACCCCGAGGCCAAACCGCTGCTGTGACCTGTGCTTGGCTGCTCTGCATTGCCGCATGACATGCATGATTTGTTTCATATAGATCTTGTTTATTCTGGTGGTGTTGTATTGTGGTTGCTTTTCAAGTCGCACAATGAAGCCCCCACCCAACTACTTAGAACCAGTTGTCACATGTGCATAATTCAGTCCACCAATATCTCAAAGGGGCCCTGAGAATGTTGACGTTTGCACAATAGCTGAAAGTTAGCTTCAGGCCAAGGTTTGTATTCCAGGAGGGGTATTAGGCCTATATGTGGTTGCAACAGTAATGCACAGACTGTTGCTAGATCCCAGAATGTACACTTGTTCGATATACTTTTTATCGCAACTTCACATAACCAAGAACTCGTCCGACCTCGCACCGAGGTTTCTGTTTCCCTCCAAAAATTTCAAATGTTCGCTCTGACGGAACTTGCCAGGGCCTTTGTCAGCCAATCCCCGCCTCTCCCTGGTGATCCGAACCTCATCGTTTCGAGCCTCCTGTGAGTGAGGTACCATGCTTGGCGGAATTCAGCCGCCATGACGGTGGGAGTTCCCTTGGTTTCTTCTTTCAGTTTGGAGGCTCGTGGGGTTAGTTGAGAGCGGGATGAGGCAGCTCCCTTGGTTTCTCCTCGGCGGAATCAACCACATGTTCTACTTGCCTCTACTTGTCGCTTCCTTCGCTCCACTTGCACTATCTTTCAAGCCTGCCGTTTTCTTATCTCCGATCTGGCTCCTTCTCCAGCAGTGTCAGCTGCTGGTCGCACTAGCCGCTAGTTCACTCGCATGGCTGCACTTGAAGTCAAATCATATTTATATTTGCCGCGACTTCGTCTGGCAATCGATAATCATATTAATGACAGTTTAGCCGAATGTAGTGAGGACGTTGTCAAGTCGTGGCGGATTGGGATTCCAAGTTACGAAGGTATCATAAGTCAGTTCAACTGGATCTGATCCCGCGGATATGACGTTAACCTGCTAGTCTAGACGGCGTTCCAGTTGAGACGGATAGCAGGACGGCGTTCCAGTTAAGAAGGATAGCAGGACGGCGTTCCATTTGAGACGGATAGCAAGCCGTCAAGCGAAGTCTCCTCGTAGAGGCAACGCCGCCGCTGCTTCCAGCGGCGTAGCCTCTGCTTCCACCGTGAATGCAGCGTCGCTGCTGTTTTCATCATCAACGCGACGTAAGCCTCTATTTCCGCCAATAATGCAAAATTGTCGCTGCTGTACCCACCAAAGCTTAGCTACTTGTTCCGCTGGAGAAGCAACGACTTAGCTGCTCTTGGCGTCGAAGCTTACCAGCAACGGCGCTGTTGTTTTCGACGTCAACGCTAGGTCGCTGCTATTTCCGCGATAGATCGGCGTCGCTGCTGTTTCCGCCGTCAAAGCGACGGAGCTGCCGTTTCTGCCGTCAAAGCGACGGAGCTGCTGAATCCGTCGTCATAGCGACGGAGCTGCTGAATCCGTCGTCATAGCGACGGAGCTTCTGAACTCCGCCGTTAAAATACCGTCGCTGCATTTTCTGCCATCACACGAAGTTGCAGAACGTCCTTGACTTTGTAAGTGTGATGGGAAGAGCTTTCATCGTGGGTGAGCAAAAATCAGGGGATTAAGCGCAGAGTTTCAGTCTGACATCCCTTGCGCTAGTCTCCCCCTCCTTCTTAGCGAACCTAACCAACTATTTCTTCTTGTCTCTGTTTCTGTTTATGGCAGGCACGCCTGTCTCTGCTTGCGTCTGCCTCATGGTCTCCTCCAGGCCCGCGTGTAAGTGGCGGAGCGATCCATCAATGTGCAGCATTAGTGTGTTTCAGAAGCGGGTCAAAGGCAGCGACGCGGTGGCGATCACAACGAGAGCAAAGACTGCAGCAGCAGCAGCAGCAGCAACCGAGCAACCAGGGGCACCACGCCTCAAGTGGCGGAGCGGCAGAGAGGCAGAGCGGCGGACGGAGCGCGGTACGTGCCAGGGGGTGCTTGCAGGGGGGCAATGAAGTGAGTCGTAGGACGTCGCCGCGCAGAGGCAAGAGTCGTGGCTGTTGCCCTTGCCTCCACCATTCGCCTCCTGCTGCTTCTTACCCTCCAATGATGCACCGCTTCTGTGTGCGTGTCCCTCTTCCCGTGCGTGTGAGTGTGTCTCACGGCCTGCGAGGCGGATGGGAATGGCAGGTAGTGGACGGGGAATGGCCGGGGCTGCCGTTGCTGGCTCGCACCAGAGACAATCTGCAGCAGCTCGCCTCAAGTGAAGGCGTGGCGCAGCAGTCGGAGAGCGGCAGACGGAGCGCGGTACGTGCCAGTGGGTGCTTGCAGGGGGGCAATGAAGTGAGTCGTAGGGCGTCGCCGCGCAGAGGCAAGAGTCGGTTCTGTTGCTTGCTGCTCCGACACTCTCTTCCTGCTGCATCTAACCCTCCCTTGTTTTGTTGCTTCTGTTTGGCTGACTCTCTCTCCCCATGCGTGTGTGTGCCTCACGGCCTCCGAGGAGGAGGGGAATGGCACCGCGTAGACGCGGAATGACATGGAGTGGACGCGGAATGGCATGGAGTGGGCGCGGAATGGCATGGAGTTGGTGTGGAACGGACGGGACTTTCGTTGCTGCCTCGCTCGAGTGTCATCCCAAAGCAGCACGCGTGAAGTGATGGCGTGGCGCAGGAGTGGGACAGCGGCGGGCTTAGGGCGTCGCCGCGCAGAGGCAAGAGTCCTTGCCCTTTCCTCCACCATTCGCCTCCTTTCCTACTGCTTCTAACCCTCCTTATTGCGCTGCTTCTGCGTGCCTCTCTCCCCTCGTGTGTGTGTGCCTCATGCCTGTGAGACAGGGAATGGCAGGGAGTGGACGGCGGGTGACAACTGTGCGGGCTTCGTTCCTGCCCGAGACGCAGCAGCAGCGCTGGTGAATGCAGCACCACTGGTGCCTTGAAGCAGCAGGAGCAGCGCTAGTGAATTCAACAGCGCATTGACTTTTCAGGCAAGTATGATCTCATGTGAATGCTTTGCCTTTTGTGATGCCAAGCGCTCATGCTTGTACCGCACGTTCTTCACTGTACTCATCTCTGAAATCTCACAACTTGCTGGTTTTGGCCTGACTCACAAGCCGCGGTCCCTTCTCATTGCAGGCAAGTTGGAGCAGCACGCCTAGCACCTGAAGCATGGGCCGCAGCAGGTGCTGCTTGGGTCGAATGTAAGGCACAAGAGTGGCAGCCTCTGCTAAGGAGGAGAAGTGGTTTGTGCCAGGGGTTGCTTGCAGGGGGGGCGTGAAGTGAGTCGTAGGGAGTCGCCGCGCAGAGGCAAGAGTCGTGTCTGTTGCTCTTGCCTCCTCCACTCGCCTCCTTTCCTGCTGCTTCTAACCCTCCCTTGTCGCGCGCCTTCTGTGTGTGTTTCTCTCTCCCCATGCGTGTTTGTGCCTCACGTCCTGCGAGACGTACGGGAATGGCAGGTAGTGGATGGGGAGTCGACGCGGCGGCTGCTGCTGGCTCGCACTAGAGACAGCAAGGAGGAGCACGCCTGATGTGTAGGCATGGCGTAGCAGTGCCGGACGGAGTGTGGTACGTGCACGGAGGGGTGCTTGTAGGGGGACCGTGAAGTGAGTCGCCGCGCAGAGGCAAGAGTCGTGTCTCTTGCGTTTGCCTCCGCCACTCGCCTCCTCTCCTGCTGCTTCTAACCCTCCCTTGTTCCACTTCTGTCTGCGTGCGTCTTTCCCTTTGCGTGCGTGTGCCTCATGGCCTGTGAGATGGGAAATGGCAGGGAGTGGGAAGTAACAAGTGTGCGGGTCTCGTTCTTGCCCGAGACACAGCAGCACCGTTGGTGAATGCAGCAGTGTTGGCGAATGCAGCAGCGCTGGTGACTTTTCAGCCAAGTATTTTCTCCTCCGAACGCTCTGCCTTTTGTGATGCCAAGCGCTCATCCCTTGTATTGCACGTGCTGCACTGCTCTGTCCTCTTGAACTCTTGCGAGGTTGCTTTTGGCCCAACTCAGAAGCCACAGTCTATCCTTATTGCAGGTATCAGCAGCAGATAACCAGCAACCTGGAGCAGCAACGTCTTAATTCTGGAGCACAGGCCGCAGCAGGTGCTGCTTGGGGCGAATGTGCGGCGCAGGAGTGGCAGGATATGCCAAGGAGGAGAAGTGGTACGTGGCATGGGGTGCTTGCAGAGGGGGAGTGAAGTGAGTCGTAAGGCGTCGCTGCGCAGAGGCATGAGCCGTGTCTGTTGCTTTTGCCTCCACCACTCGCCTGCTTCTAACCCTCCCTTGTTGCATTGCTTCTAACCCTCCCTTGTTGCATTGCTTGTAACCCTCCCTTGTTGCATTGCTTCTAACCCTCCCTTGTTGCATTGCTTCTAACCCTCCCTTGTTGCATTGCTTCTAACCCTCCCTTGTTGCATTGCTTCTAACCCTCCCTTGTTGCATTGCTTCTAACCCTCCCTTGTTGCATTGCTTCTAACCCTCCCTTGTTGCATTGCTTCTAACCCTCCCTTGTTGCATTGCTTCTAACCCTCCCTTGTTGCATTGCTTCTGTGTGGCTGTCTCTCTCCTCATGCGTGTGTGTGCCTCACGGCCTGCGAGACGGACAGAGGGGGATGGAGCGGACGGGGAATGGACGAGAGGCAACCAATTAGCAAGGAGAAACGGCGCCTATTTTCCTGCTAAGTTTCTTCAAGTCAAGAGGTAACTGGGAGTTCAGATGCACCATGCATGGCATTCTATCACAGTCCCTTCTCCAGCTTTCGTCTGCCATCTCATCCACTCGCTTCTGCCCGGCCTCTCATCCACTCACTTGTCCTCTTCCTGCTCAGACCTCGCTTCCTCTTCCTTGACTTCCCTCCTCCCCTCACCTCCAGGCTCCAGCACTCAAGGGGCAGTGATCACCAGTGGCTGCAGCAACGGATCACCAGTCGCTGCAGAACCTGCAGGGTGATGGCGAGCATACAAGGAGTTGTGAGTCCATCAGATCAGCCAGTACACTGCTTCTCCATTCACCGTCTTGTTGCGTTCTCGTGTTTAGTTCGGTCGTGTCTACCATC